CATCACTCTTTTTTGCTGAGTATTGCCTTGGATATTTGCAGTCTCTTGTGTTTCCAAATGAACTTTAGGGTAGATTTTCCAATCTCTGTGATGAAAGTCATTGGGATTTTGATGGGAATTGCATTAAACATGTCCACAGCTGTGTCCCAGTTGCCATCTTGGATCTCTGAATTTGTTACTCTTCTCTGTTTTCTTTTTCTCTGCAGTGGTACTGGGATTTGTCCTTACTAGGCAGGTGCTCTACTGCTTTAACCACACCTCCAGGCCCACTTTCTTTGTTTTGAACTTGAAGAATGTACCCATTGGGAAGACAAGAGCCCTTTGTATATGAGCAAGTGAGTATTGCATTTCTGTGTTTATGCTTTACTTATTGCTAACATTTGAGATTTTTTAACTTTTTTGATAGTACTGGGATTGAACCCTGGTCTTCAAGCTTACTAGACAGGTACTATTGCCACTTGAACTGTGCCTCAAAGCCTTTTGTTTTTATCTTGATACCTTTTTTCAGGCTGGCCTCGAACTCATGACCCTCCTACTTTCACCTCCAACTTGCTGGGATTACAGATGTGCTCCATGATGCCCAGCAGATGTTTTAGAATTAAAGCTGTGAATTCTCAATATTTGTATGTCTGTGGGTAAGTCGTATTTTCCTACCTCCAGATGGTATTATTAAATTATATTATAAACATTTTTAAAGTAGCTGCAGTCTAATTAATTTAGAGCTAAATAAGGTCTTATATAAATGGAGTATTCCTAAAATTATTAAAAACAACTGAACTTATAATTTCACTGTGTTAAAATATTCTTACAAACGCTAACTCAAATGTTTTAAGAATTCAAGTTCATGAATTAGATAAATCTTGGCAAATGAAACAAATTTAATATTGTTGATTTAATATAAGCAACTATGACTTCCAAATTTTCATTTTTAAGTTTTAAGCAAGCATACACTGTTATCTACTTGGGCATGTTCTTACTCAACTTTTACAGACCTGCTGACTTAGCAAGTTATCTTTTCAGTTACTATATTATTATAAAAATGTAAATTTATATATATTGCAATGGAATCTGTCATCATATTGATAAAACTATTTCAAAAGCAATTGGTTATCTTTAGCAATATGTCAGCTTGAAGATAGTTTTCAAGATATTTTGGTAACTTTAAAATTTTTGTTTGAGACTGAATGAGTTCATTGACATTCCTTAGATACCTAGGTATAGCTAAGTCTGATAAAATACTAAATCATTAATTACAGACTATCATTTTCTGTGTATATAGTCTCTGAATATTATTTTCATGTGATTCACAGAGACAATATACTTGGGTGTATTAGTGAACATATTTGTTTCTGCCACATCGAGAAGTTGTACCATCAGGGATATTTATGACTATAAATGTGATGTATATTTACAAGCTCTGCTAGTCTTCTACAAAATGGTGGCATATGAAAGATAGTTCACATTGATCTAACCTAAAAGAATCTCTTATTGGGCACAGTGGCACTATGATCCCAGTACATGGGAGGTGCTGACAAGAGATCACAAACTCAAGATGGTCTGGGTAAGAAACTTAGACCCTGTTTCAAAAAGAAGAATGAGGAGGAGGAGGAGTAGAGGAAAAAGGGGAGGAGAAGAAGGACGAAGAGGAGGGGGAAGAAGAAAGAGGAGGAGAAGGGGGAGAAGGAGGAGGATGAGAAGGAAGAAGAAGCAGGAAAAGGAAAAGGAAGAGAAGAAGAAAAGACAGAGGAGGAAGGAGAAGAAGGAGTTGGAGAAGAAGAAAAGGAAAAGGAGAAGAGGAAAGGAGAGGAAGAGGAGAAAAATTTAAAAAGATAGAGTAAATGAATAATATTAATAACGATAAGGGGAAGAAGGAAAAGGAGGAGGAGGAGAAGGAGAAGAAAAATGAGGAAGAGAAGGAAGAAGACTGAAAAGATGGAGAAAATGAATAATGATAAGAAGAAGAAGAAAGAAAGGAGAAGGAAGAAGAAAGAAGATGCAGAAGAAAGAAGAAGAAAGAAGACTGAAAAGATGGAGAAAATGAATACTAAGGAGAAGAAAGAAGAAGCAGAAGAAAGAAGACTGAAAAGATGGAGAAAATGAATACTAAGGAGAAGAAAGAAGAAGCAGAAGCAAGAAGAAGAAAGAAGACTGAAAAGATGGTGAAAGTGATTACTAATGAGAAGAAAGGAGAAGAAAGAAGGAGAAGAAAAAGAAAGAAGAAGAAGGAGAAGCTGGAGGAGGAGGAGGAAGAGAAGAAAAAGAAGTAGAAGCAGGGAGAGGAGAAAAAGAAAACAAGGAGAAGGAGAAGAAGAAAAAAAAGGAGGAGGAAGGAGAATAAGAAGGAAAAGCTCTCTTTGACCAAACTTCAGTCAGGCTTTTTTGAGCCTTTTTAAACTAGATTTTGACCTTGACCTTGGCCTGCTCAGCCCAGAAAGAACCCTGTTTATTGAGACTCCTTTACTGTGACCACTCTTGAGATTTGATATTTTGCTAAGTTCTTTGATCTTCATGTCTAATATCTTGACCTTCTTTTAGCAAGAATCCTATTAAGCCAGTTTAGTAGGAATCCCTCTTTCCTTGATACTCATGGAATTACTTTCAGTAATTTTCTACCCACCGACCTTCATTCTGTTTCTTGGATGGAAGTCCCCAGCTGTCTCTGCTGTATTGGGATTTGAGCTGAGTTCTAGCTTGCAGTCTTTATGTCCCACTGTGGTAGTTGCAATAAGATCTTCTCTGTGGGGTTTGGAATTTTTGGCAGTATGGGATTTAAACTCAAGGCCTCTCACTTGCTAGGCAAGAGCTCTACCCCCTCAAGGCAGGCCTCTGTCCATTTTTGTTTTAGTTATTTTTTGGATAAGGTCTTACATCTTTACCTTGGGTGGACCTTGAACAAAGATCATCCTCCTTTATGTCTCCTAAGTAACTGGAATTTCAACTGGATGCCACCATGCCCAGATTATTTGTTGAGATGAGGTCTTACTAACTTTTTGCGTGGGTTGGCCTTGAACCATGATCCTCCTGATCTTCACCTCCTAAGTAACTGGGATTATAGGGGTGAGCCATCATGCTTGGCCTACCCTGTTCTTTTAACAAATGTCTTTCTTTACACTATCATCAAGGCTTTTCTATGCAACAGAAATTACTGTAGTTAGAAGTTAATATCGATGCATGTAATGAGACTGCAGTAAGTATATGCAACGCATATAGGATCTGTTTTGTTAAGGAAAATGAGTAAATTTGTTCTAAAATAAAACTAGCAATTGGCTCCAGAACAAGAAAGAGGGAAGTGTAGGGGGAAACTTGACTGGATAGAGAAAATGGTGAATGTTTTATAGAAAGGGCAACTGAATTCTTGTGGTCTAAGCTGGCAAGGTTTAATGAATTTTATATGTAAAATCTTTCAAATAAGAACTTTAGTATCAAATATTACTGTTAAATAGACTAATGTCAAATATCAAATTTTATTGCCTTTGTCTATTAAAATGATAACATTTTCTCAGACTAGTTGTCCTCTTAATAAGAGGTTATAAAAACATTTTCTTTACCTTTTGTGTGATCAGCCTAGAAGATAAACATTCAGGGTTTTATCAGAATAATTTCTTGTGCTGACCTTATCATGTCCATGATTATTTAAGAAAACAGAATCTTCACTTAAAAGAACTAGAGGTATTTATAGTTAGGTCACCTCCTATGTCTACTTTATTTTTTTAAATTATTTTTTGGCAATACTGAGGTTTGAATTCAAGGTCTTGAATTTGCTAGGCAATTGCTCCACCATTTGAGCCATGCTTTAGCTGCATTTTGGATAGGGCCTCTCATATTTTTGCCTGGGGCAGCCATCTGCACTGCAGCTTCCTGTCATCACCTGCTGCATAGCTAGGATTATAGACACATGCCACATGTGCACCTTATTGATTGAGATGGGATCTGACTAACTTTTTGCCTAGATTGGTCTCAAACCACAGTCTTCCCCTTCTCTCTGCCCTCCAAGTAGCTGAGATTACAAACATGAACCACTGTGCCCAGCCTTATGTTCCTTAAAAAAGTTTTTGGCCTAGCTATTGAGTTCAGGACTTTTTGCATGCTAGGAAAGTTCTGTACACCTACACAACCTCCCAGTTAAACACCCATCCCTAAAAATCTTTTCATGTCCTTTTGCATAAATAGATAAGCAAGTGTTGCTTCTCAGCAATTCACTGCCATATTTAGTTACCTGTTCAAATTAAAACAACATTTTACAATTTATTTCCCCACATCAAATCCTAAATGGTATCTTCTGCTTTGTCATGGAAATAAAAGGTAAGCCTGCAGTTGAGTAAGGAAAAATGTTATTAAAAGAGACTACTGCAATAAGAAAACGCTATGAGCTTAATCCAGAAAAGTCCCAGGCTAGGAATGGGCAAGCAAGGCATTTTTTATGCAGAGTCTAGGATAGCAGCCTAAAAATGTGGAAGGGGGTCGCCATGCTAAGACAGGGGTGTGGATGTATATAGGGTGGTGAGTTCTTAAATTTAATGGACTACATTTAATACTCACTAGCAAAAAGTTGAGGCAGGGAAGTTGGTTTGTGCTTAGGCACATGGTTGGAATTCTGGATCCACAAAGGAACAGACAAATGAAAATGCAGGATGTTCATGTAGATTGGAGGGGCTAGTGGTTTAGGCAAACCAGCCAAAGAGCCATCTGTTGGGTGGCTATGTTGGCAAAGGTCAGTAGGTTAAGTGTACTTTGGAACAAACATTGTAAAAGTAGGCTGCCTGGAGTGAAAAAGAGAAACATTAATGAAAAAGGATGTATTTAAGGAAGCAGAACCCCAATTGCCCCTTTTGGGGAATTCCAAAATTGGTGGATAAAGCCTTCTGGGTGGCTATGCAGCCTTGCTCCTTGAGAATTCTCATGCTTTTGGGGACATTGAATAGAGTCTGCATTGCATTTCCTACTAGGACATGTATCGCCCAAGCATTTCAGCAGACTTGCTTAGTGGTACTGTGAATTACCTGTCCAGAGGAAAATATAGCTCATGCACAGCCTGCTGCGATGATGGGTCTTTACAATCTATAGCAAAATCATAGTGATTCTTCAGAAGCTGGGCCCAGACAAGGCAAGCCATGGTCTCAGGAAGGATCTGGGGAGACAGGTTTTGGTTCACAGAGTAAAGAGGAAAAGAGACAAATAAGGAGGCTAGTTAGACAGTGCTAGCAAGATACTGAAAGAAACTAACAAGATTGAAAATTTGGTGAGGGTAGGCAATTTGTGCAGGGTAACAGATTCAACTCCAATCCACATGTAAGTACCCAAACTGACTTGCCCACAGATAGAAGGCAGCTAAATCTATCAGACAAGACAGGATTTGCATACCCATCAGTTACATGCATCTTATAAAGAGGACAAAATAGCTCAAACACAAAGGCACAGGGCTAGAATCTCATACTCCAGAAGGACATGATATAATATCCCACTGAAACACAAATTTTGGTTCCATGGCCTCCCACCCCCACTTTTGATCAAAGGCAGTCATGAAGAAAGATGATCCTTGGTCACTAAGGAAGGCTGGCCTCATTAGATTTGCCCCGGCTGTTGGCACAGGTGCAGCAAGAATGGCAACTTCCATATTGATCTTACATTTGCTCTGCTGGAGTTTCCATAAACAATCCCAAACTGCACTTTCAAAGCCTCTTGAGACTCAGAAGCCATGCTGGGAGCTCCCCTCACCTTTCACCTGCAGAACCTATTACTCTGGCAGGAATTTCTCTCTTCTGGAGGTCCCTAAGTAGCCCAAGATTCCTGGGCTTGCTGGGAAGTCACTGCCTTTCTCACCTGCAAGGCTGGGAACCCTGTAAAGACAGGGAGCAGGACAGTCCTCCCAAGAGGAGTTTTGTAAGCATTGGCTCCATGAAGTCAGCCCTGTTTCCTGAAAGTGTCTGCCCAAATCTGATTATGGAAGAGTCATTCTCACACATGGCCTTCCAGGCAACACCTTCACGGATTGCCAATGTTTCCAATTATGTCCTGCTGACAAGAAAGACGGACGCCTGCTGAATCTATGCAGATAACTATACTGCCATGAAAATGAGAATACTCAGTAAGAATGTCTGAATTTTGAAAGGGTGAGTCAGGGTGGAAGAGAGAAAAGTTTCACTTCTGCTGACAAGAAGTGAACACAATCTGTGGAATTATGTTGAGTGATAGATAGTTTAAGAGAAAAGAAAGGGACTCCTTGCATCCAGAAACTAGAACATTACAGCAAAGACCCTATTGCAAAGAAAGCCCCCAATCCCCCACCATCTGTTCACTCTGCCCTACATAATTAACCCTTGTTCCACTTGATCCTGCCTTAGCAGTCTCAGGAACCCATGTCTCAGAAATCCTGACTCAGTGCACTGATACGGATGGTCCCACGTTTACTTAAGCAGTGCCATCAGAAGCTTTGGCTAAGAATTCCTGGCATAGTTTTTTCCATGGGTCTCTGACACATAGTCCTACTTTGTGGAAGACATAGCCCTCTGGCCTCTAACTGATTTGCATTTTGCTCCTTGGGATGTGTGAGAACAAAACACAACACATCTGTAGACTACAAAAGACTTAAAATGGTTGTGTTTGGCATAGCTTTGATAATTTTCAAAAGTAAATGATATGATGTAATTTGATTAAGAAATAATGGAATCGACAGAGAAATTTGATAATTATGTGGCACTTAAAGTCAATTAAAAATTTGAGACAAAGTATGCATATAAGGTAAAGGTTAATTCTATATTGAAAGAAGAGTGAGCATTTCATCTCACAGAGATGGATCAGCATATTTTTTACAGAGAAACTACTTCGGATGTAATTAGCATGAGACATAATGTACACTCTCTCTCTCTCTCTCTCTTTCTCTCTCTCTCTCTCTCTATATATATATAGTTATAGTTATAGTTAGGATAGACCCAGAATCTGTCTACATTAGAAAGCAGAGAGAGGTTCAGTGTATCTGTACAAGTTCAGAAAGAAAATACTCATGTAGAATAAAAATGTATCCTTGCCATGCTAACAACTCAGAACGCTATTTACAAGTCAACAATATCAAATTATTGTCATTTGCCAACGATTTTCTTAAATTAGATGAACATGAATTTTTAAAATGTGTCAATAAATTTTTATAACAGCATCTCTTCACATTGATCATTTGAAGATTTTAATTTTAAAATTTATGTGAAATTCAGGAATATTGCTAAGTCAGTCCAAGAGGAGTTCTTTCAAGGGATTTTATAATTTAATGCAGTAATACCATCTGGAGGTAAGAAAATATGACATAAAATAATGTGTATATGTATAAATACACATATATGCATGTATACATGTATAGGCACACAGAAAGAGAGCTTACCTGTTTAATTTTAAAATTTAACCATGGTTTAGTCATATTCCCTGAAGTACAAAGCTCACTGGTTTATAGAAAGGAGCTAGCCCCTGTCATGGCATTACCTTTACATTTTTATAAGGATTGTATTTTTGGAAGATGGGGAAATTTGAAGTAACCGGGTCAATATGAGAACTGAGCTCCTGTACGAATGTTTGTGTAGGGACCCCCATGCTGCCCTTTGTCCTGTCATGGAATCCTGTGGATATTGCAATTTTAGAGAGAAGACGGGAAAGACAAAGCAGCTGTTTGTTGTCTCTCAAGCCCTGCTGTGTGGATAAAACATCCAGCCTGTTTCCAATTAGCCTTTTCAGCCTTGGGGTTTTGCTCTTGGTGTCTCTGAGCTCCAAGAGTCACCAACAAGGGGAGAGGGACTTATTCTTGCTTCTCAAGGAAGAATAAGGAACTGAGGGGCCAGAGTGGGAAGGGAAGGGGCTGCCAGGGGTGAATAGAAGGGTGGAATAGGTAGAGCTGTTGAAGGGAGCAGATCCACGGCCTCAACAGAGCTAATGGAGAGTGGAAAGTGGTAGAGAGGAGAGGGGAGATGAGGAGGTGGGTGATGAGAAGAGAGATCTTAGACAGTACTGGGGCCGGATGGTAGTCTTTGAAGAAAGCAATGATCTCTGGTAGCTTTAGCGGTCGAGGCATTGAGCTGCCCCCAACAAACAAACAAATGAAGAAAATGCTTGGATGAGATTTTGGAGGCACAGGATGCAAAGAGTCTCTCTTAGAATGAGAAAATTTGAGAAGATCCTTAGTTCCCCCCAAGGAGATCATTGAAGTTTAAGTTGTGAAATTTAACTGTTTTTGAAGAAAATGGGTTGAGTGAGCTCTGTAATGACCAAACATTTAGGCCTCACATGTGGGGTCTGAGGAGCAAATTAGAGCAACAGTTTACCACAGTAATGAAAGGAACACATGCCCAGATTAGAGGCCTTGGGACTGTAGTGGAAAGCATCATTTTCTGGAAGAGAATGAGGGGCTTTAACCACAGGGCATAAGTAGCAGAAGAAAAAAGATGAAAATGAGAGATGAGTAAATTTAGTCCTTACTGTGCTGCAATAGAAGGAATGTCTGGAACACTGGAAATCGAGTCAGGACTCACCATTGTGGATTTTGTGGATTCTGATGTCCCCCAGCAGGAACAGGCGCAAAGATTCCAATCAGATGGAGTGAAAACAGCAGTTGCCTGAGGGGCTGTGAGCATTCCCTCCAAGTCATGGCATTGTTACTGTCAAAGAAAAGCATGCAATCTGGACTAATATGGAAATCCACTATTAGGGGAGGAAAGCATTATAGTAGTAAGATGCTCAGTACCTAAGCCAGAAATGTCTCAGGGAGGGGTGGCTGAGCAAAGCCTTTAAATGCAGAGATAACTTGGTGTAGGTGGTTGTGGAACAAAATGGGGAAGATGCTCGTGGTGAGGGGTGTTTCTTAGAAACTAGTAGTCATCAAATATTTTAACAGGAAACTTGAGTCAGGAAATTGGTTTGTGGTTAGGCACACAGAGCAGCAGCATCACCTGACATAGTGTGAACGAGTTAGTGTGAGAAATGCAGCTAGAGCTGGGTATCTTGGCACACAAGCCCAAAGTTATGTCAAACATAATGACTTATCTGCTTTGCTGGCACCTAAAACTACCTCTGAGCTGTCCCACAGAACCCCTGGAAAAATCACAGACACTTGTTCTTTCACTCAAAGAAGTGATATGGATTACTGGAAATGTTCCTAATGACAAGATACATGGGATGCATTGTCAAGTCTACAGAGATTCATAGGATTCTCTAGGTTAAATGTGTGTGGTACAGTGTTATTAATGTGCAGATTTAAAATTGTATTGTCCATGTGTAGGATCTAGAAAACTGAGTGTTTCTGCCGCCCATGATCAGGTTTCTATGTGCCAGAGTCCTGATTTTTTTTTTTTTTTTGCCCAATACTAGAAAACAGTGTACTGTCATTGGCTATAACTTTAGTTGTTTAAAAAAAAGTTAATGTGATTATAACTTTAGTTCTTTAATTTGAACCCAGCATATTTTAGGCCAGTAGTTTTCTCCTGGGGGTTCATGTCACTTGCCTATTCAGTTTTGTTAATATGCTGGTGTTTAGAATCTGCTGTAGATGAACTGAATTTATATACTTTGTAGTCTTTATGTTTTGGGTAAATTCTAATGATGTGCTAGGTATAAATGTCAGCTCATGTGTCAGGATTTTTATGTTATATCTAAAAATGCTTTCTCTGTAAAAATTTTATATGTGTGTGTATAAACTTTCATAGATTACATGTACTTTTACATTCTTTAAAAATACTATTAAGAGCTGGTGGAGTGGCTCAAGTGGTTGAGCACCTGCCTAGCAAGTGCAAGGCCCTGAGTTCAAGCCCCAGCACAACAACAACAACAAAAAAATACTGTTAAAATATTGTGTTGACAGGTATTTTGTCTAAAACTTTTTTGGGTTGACTTTCTTTTGTTATTTATGCCATAGTAACAACTAGATGTGCTTGTCAATTGCATTATTCTTGTAATACACTCTATTCAGACCATTTTTGCTTTTGAAAAAGAGCAATAAGTGAACGAAAGGCACTTTTAATGTTTTTTTTTTTGTCATCGATGGATTTTTTTTAATGCTTGCTTTGTTTTACTCTTGAGACCTTCATGAAATGCTTGCAGTCAGCTACTAGTCAGAGTGTCTCATCTTCAACAAATGAACTCTTAAAGCTTGGTTGCAAAGGACCATACCAGATACTCTGGAATACAGATTCTGATGACTTTGTTTAAACAACGATGAGAGTCTACCATTGGAGTATATCAGAGGTTCCAGACATCTAGTGGACAAGCAGATGTATTCATGAGAGAACTAATCCAAGGTCGAGTGGAACAAGAATTAATTATGGTAGTTCTTCTTAATCTCCAGACCTACAGTAGAAGCCTGAAATGAGGACAGAACCAACATTGGATGCTTAATGCACTAAAGCCATCACTTGTGCAGTTTGAGGCACAACAGCAGAACTAGCATGAAGTTCTTTTTCTTCTTCACGTTTTCACAGATAGAAGATCCATTCTTACTACAAGTCTTAGCAGTGTCCATTCTGTAGATCCTAGCAATTTAGGCATGGAATTTTTTTCTTATTAAGTGAAGAACTTTCATTTTGTGTTTAAAGGCAACACTTGACAGCTTCTCTTTGGCAGATCTGAATTGTGTCATTACTCTTGAGCTTTGGGACCATTATTAATTAAAATAAGGGTTACTTGCAGTGACTGTTGATCGGATAACCAAGATGGCTACTCTGTGACTAATGGGTGGGTTGTATATTTAATGTACATATGCTGGACAAAGAGGTGATTTACATCCTGGGTGGGATGAAGTGAGATGGCATAGATTTTATCATGCTACTCAGAATTGCATGCAATTTAAGACTTTTGAATAGCTTATTGATGGACTCTTCCACTTAATGCTTTTGAACTGTGGTTGACTGTTGATAACTAAAACGATTGAAAGTGAAACAATGGGCAAGGGGAGAATAATTAATGTACATAGAACTGAATGTGCAAATAAGGAATGGCTGTGATTTTTGTTTAAGTACTTACTGTTTTCCAGATGTAAGGACTCCCTTTCACTTTCTCTCAGCTACAGGCCAGAGGGCTTTGTCTTCCACAAAGTAACACTATGTGTCAGAGACCAGTGGAAAATTCTTAGGCTAGGCTTCTGATGGCACTGCTTAAGTAAACGTGGGACCATCCGTATCAGTGCACTGAGTCAGGATTTCTGAGACATGGGTTCCTGAGACTGCTAAGGCAGGATCAAGTGGAACAAGGGTTAATTATGTAGGGCAGAGTGAACAGATGGTGGGGGATTGGGGGCTTTCTTTGCAATAGGGTCTTTGCTGTAATGTTCTAGTTTCTGGATGCAAGGAATCCCTTTCTTTTCTCTTAAACTATCTATCACTCAACATAATTCCACAGATTGTGTTCACTTCTTGTCAGCAGAAGTGAAACTTTTCTCTCTTCCACCCTGACTCACCCTTTCAAAATTCAGACATTCTTACTGAGTATTCTCATTTTCATGGCAGTATAGTTATCTGCATAGATTCAGCAGGCGTCCGTCTTTCTTGTCAGCAGGACATAATTGGAAACATTGGCAATCCGTGAAGGTGTTGCCTGGAAGGCCATGTGTGAGAATGACTCTTCCATAATCAGATTTGGGCAGACACTTTCAGGAAACAGGGCTGACTTCATGGAGCCAATGCTTACAAAACTCCTCTTGGGAGGACTGTCCTGCTCCCTGTCTTTACAGGGTTCCCAGCCTTGCAGGTGAGAAAGGCAGTGACTTCCCAGCAAGCCCAGGAATCTTGGGCTACTTGGGGACCTCCAGAAGAGAGAAATTCCTGCCAGAGTAATAGGTTCTGCAGGTGAAAGGTGAGGGGGAGCTCCCAGCATGGCTTCTGAGTCTCAAGAGGCTTTGAAAGTGCAGTTTGGGATTGTTTATGGAAACTTCCAGCAGAGCAAATGTAAGATCAATATGGAAGTTGCCATTCTTGCTGCACCTGTGCCAACAGCCGGGGCAAATCTAATGAGGCCAGCCTTCCTTAGTGACCAAGGATCATCTTTCTTCATGACTGCCTTTGATCAAAAGTGGGGGTGGGAGGCCATGGAACCAAAATTTGTGTTTCAGTGGGATATTATATCATGTCCTTCTGGAGTATGAGATTCTAGCCCTGTGCCTTTGTGTTTGAGCTATTTTGTCCTCTTTATAAGATGCATGTAACTGATGGGTATGCAAATCCTGTCTTGTCTGATAGATTTAGCTGCCTTCTATCTGTGGGCAAGTCAGTTTGGGTACTTACATGTGGATTGGAGTTGAATCTGTTACCCTGCACAAATTGCCTACCCTCACCAAATTTTCAATCTTGTTAGTTTCTTTCAGTATCTTGCTAGCACTGTCTAACTAGCCTCCTTATTTGTCTCTTTTCCTCTTTACTCTGTGAACCAAAACCTGTCTCCCCAGATCCTTCCTGAGACCATGGCTTGCCTTGTCTAGGTCCAGCTTCTGAAGAATCACTATGATTTTGCTATAGATTGTAAAGACCCATCATCGCAGCAGGCTGTGCATGAGCTATATTTTCCTCTGGACAGGTAATTCACAGTACCACTAAGCAAGTCTGCTGAAATGCTTGGGTGATACATGTCCTAGTAGGAAATGTAGTGCAGACTCTATTCAATGTCCCCAAAAGCATGAGAATTCTCAAGGAGCAATGCTGCATAGCCAGAAGGCTTTATCCACCAATTTTGGAATTCCCTAAGAGGGGCATTCTGGGATTCTGCTACCTTACTTTAATACGTCCTTTTTCATTAATGTTGCTCTTTTTCACTCCAGGCAGCCTACTTTTACAATATTTGTTCCAAAGTACACTTAACCTACTGACCTTTGCCAACATAGCCACCCAACAGATGGCTCTTTGGCTGGTTTGCCTAAACCACTAGCCCCTCCAATCTACATGAACATCCTGCATTTTCATTTGTCTGTTCCTTTGTGGATCCAGAATTCCAACCATGTGCCTAAGCACAAACCAACTTCCCTGCCTCAACTTTTTGCTAGTGAGTATTAAATGTAGTCCATGAAATTTAAGAACCAGCCCCTCCCCCATATACATCCACACCCCTGTTTTAGCATGGCGTCCTCCTTCCACAGAGTTGAACTCCGTCACTTGGAACATATCTCTAAATTGACTAGATCTTTTCTCTCATCTTGCATGAATTGCCAATGCTTACCAGATTTTCTATTCTTACATTTTCCTGAAGCATCTAAGTATATTAAAAAAAAACAGTCTTCAAAGTAACCTTTCATTTCTTCTCTTTCTTAATTTAATTTACTGAGACCTAAATCCTGACTGTCCTGATGCTTATTGGGACTCTAGTTGCCTTGGAGCTGGTTTTATCCTCTAGCATATGAAGAATTGCTGAAGCTGAAGCTTGAGAACTTGTTATAAACCTGCAAGGCCTTACCATCCATCTGACTGCTCATTGCCAACCCTCAACCTGTACAAGCCACTGTTCGAGCTTCTACGAAAGTCCAGTGAAATTCTCAGTTCATGGGTTCCCTGATTGCCAAAGTAACTATCACTGTGGACCTCACAATCAATTCAATTAACATCTTAGCTTCAAAAACTCAGTAAGTATTGAGAGAACAGATTGGCAATTTGCTATGGTTTGAACATAGTTTGAGTTTGTCCCCAAACTTTCATGTCCTGGAAGCTTGGTCCCCAGTGTGGCATTGTGGAAGTGGTGGACTCTTTAAGAGTTGGGATCTGGTGGAATGTAGTTTGGTTATAAGAGCACCACCCTTTGAAGGCATTGTGCTACTCTTGAGAGAATGGGTTGTTACAAAACA